GATAGAAGAAAGTGTGAGGGTTTCTTTAAACACTGTTTCATGTTAACACTAGATGATTTCCCTCGAAATGAGGGAGGTCTCGTGGACTGCATTAACCTGAACGTAGTATAAAAGTCAAACGGTTGCAGGACATCAGGATTCACCAGTCATCTTCTGGTGAGATCAATCTACGGATCCATTCTTCATGCATTTTTATACGAAATTAAGGTCTCCCCAACAGGCTTGTAAAGGCTCAATTATTAAGCTAAATGATGGACCAGTTAACTGATCTTAGTTAGGCCTATGCACTGAGTAAATATCGTGGTAAGGCCTGACCACCTTAATAATAAAACATGTGTACTGTGAACTAATCGTCTCTGGTTTTCGCCGCATCTAGTTGAAATGGCCTCGCGATTCCATCCATAATGCCAAATTTCTGACAGTGATATTCTTGTGTGTTCAACCTCCTAAATATTACAGACGTTTTTTTGGTTCAACTAGATTAATTGTGATCGTTTTTTTAGCTTTCGATCATCTAAGAGCCTTTTACTTGTGATACCTTTTATTTTTTTTCGCAATAATTCCTTGACCCAATCAATTCTTTTTTGCTAAGCTTGCCATCTCCTTAACACCCCAAGTTTGCCCAAACGATACCAAAATCTTCGCTAATTATGCCTTCTTCCAGTGTCCTGTGTATTAGATTCCTTTTAGTAAGTAAATCGAATATCTCCTTCATCTTGCGCCTCGTACTTTCCATATATTCAGCCAGACATTCCATTGTATTCTAGTTAGTATCATAAAATGTGCTCTGCTATCCTGATTTCTCTGTTTCCATGTTTCTGGAGTCTCTGGAGTTGCCTGATTAATAGGCTGATCATCAAGCAGCAAATAATTTCATAAATATAATTATGTTCATAATCGCCTCATGTTATGCAATAAACACTCAATAGAACCAGTTTTTTCATTTAATATGACGGATCGAATTACTTTTATAAGTTATTCATGGCGATTGCCAAAAGGAGAGAACAGAGATCCCATAGGCTGTCTAAATATTCGTTCAAAGATGTTGCCCTTGTATATGAATTAGATGGTTCTTATTGTCTAGTTGAACAATCATGTTAAGATTCCCACATCCACTCTCCTTCTAGGATATATTCCTGTCGTTCCATGAACTCCAGCAGAACCGTGCTTGTATATATGGACTGTGCCAAAACTTGCCAACGGTTATGTTCCTTCTAGTCCAATGATTTGATCCTTCAAGGAAATTCATAATAATTCTTTATGGCGCTTGCTAATCTGTCGTTAACCTAGATGAATTTCGCAAGTTTAAGTGTCAATTCATACTTCCTTTTTATTGTAAACTTTAGCGGTGCTCCTTTTAGAGTATCTTCAGTAGGCTCAATGATAGTGCCGGCAAAACGTCTGGGAATGTAGCAAGTTCACAGTACGGCTAAGGCAGAGGACCCAAGCAATATGAGTTCATCTAAGTCTCCTTCACATGAAAAAGATGCAAAGATGAGTTAAACTTATCCTATACATAAAAAAGTAAACAGCGATTAAACAAGAGACTACGCCACCTTAGTTTACATAATTTCGATGAAAAAGTAAAATCTCTGAAGAATTATTTTGATTTTTTTAAGTAAAGATAGTTTTTGCATCCACCATGAGAGATCTTGCGTTCAAAAAAAAGATTAACTAAGCTTGTTGGTTATTATGGAGATATAACTACTTAAAGTAAACCAGGAAAGACTTACAGGACACGCTTTGATCTTCTCTCAGGCATGGTGCGACGTATCAGATGATTGATTCGAGACTGGATGTAAACCCATGGACCCATATTTTTATGTTCCTCCTGTACCCACTGGACTACAGCATTTGGATATTTTTCCAGCTCAAGCTTGATGAGATCGTAAGGGAAAGGAGTAAGCTGTTCCACTCGGCTGATTGCGATCTCGCTTGTACGACCAACAGACTCACGCTCTTTGACTAGTTCATAATAGATCTGGTGAGGAACGAAGAGTTAAAAAAATGATAAAACGAATTATGAAGCGAGTAAACCAGTCCTATCAATAAAATGAGAGGTAAATTTTACGTAGATAAGGTTTCCAATATGTTTTTAAGTAAAAGTGGATTGGGATTGTATTAAGATGCAAAAGTTTGACTAAAGCTTAAACAGCTTATTTAGTCATATGAAAAATATCTTTTAAAAATAACGCATAGAGGCACTGCATAGATTAAATATCGTTTGTGTGAACTAATTCGGGCATTTTTGAAATTTGCAACAAGAATAAAAAGTGAAGTGGAGAGTAATTGTAAAATATAAATAACTACAAAATGTAAACTTAAAAAAATGTCATATGAATTTGGAGTTACCTAGACCTACACTTTCCCATTCTATATTTAGTTTTGTTACATCCTGTACGTAGCCATAGCTCAACAGTCTTGGACACAGATCATGTGAGTTCATGACTAATCTTGACTCTTTATTTTGTGTCAACCAATCAAAGCTTGGCAGTGCATCGTCCAATCAGAAGGTGACATGGAAAACTAAACAAGGCTAGGCTAAATAGCTAACATAGTGCGACCAAACAGAGGACCACACCATTTCCCTCTTCATATCTACGATCTATTTACAGTGGTTAGATTGCCAATAAGAACACTGATTAAAGCAGATCAAAGAAAACAATCGTAAGTCAATCTTTTCATTTGACCTTTATTAATATCGTACACGTTATGGTATCTCTACTAGTTTTTGCAATTTGATGAGAAATTATCATTCTGATAAAGTCAATCAAGCTTCCTTGCAAAATGTATAGAAGACATATAATAGGAAAAGGGGAAAATTATTTAAGTTTTTAGATAGAAAATCTAGACTTAGGCATGACTTGAGTCAGATTCTCACCCCGGAGGATTTTATGAAACTACAGAGGATGAAGGACAAAATGGCGAAAAGAAGAGGGGATTTAATCAAAAAATGGCACTAGAAAAATCTAAATAAATATGGAATATGTAGACACCAACCATCTGAAAAAATTAAGATGCCTCTAGGCTGACGGGTCTCAAAAGTCCAAACAAGTAATGAGGATAAATTAATGAACTTGTCAGCCGTCCTTCTTGACCTTGAAACCACGGAGATCCACAAGAAGTGACGAAATTTTGCACTTCGGAATGAAAGTGAAGGCAATCAATGATATTTAAATGGAAGCGATAAATGTATGTGAAATTATGCATGAAAAATCAAAAAGAGAGCTGGAAATGGAAATTATGCCAATAATCTTGGCGCATCAATAACCCACACAT